TTATCGATATCTTTAATGGTTAAGATATAAGCAAAGAATGTATCTGACGCGGAAAATTCCGGCAAAAGCGTCGCAATTTTGGCCTGTTTTAGCACTTTAATAATTCTAAGTTTATTAATTTTAATGCGTCAATCCTTGTAACGAAGATCATGTAGAATAGTGTCTTTCTTGAATAATATCGATATTTTTAACGGTAGACGAGATGTAAGCAAAGAATGTGTTAGACGTGAAGAACCCAGGCAAAAGCGTCACGATTTCGGCCCGCTATGTCGCTTTAATATAATCCAAGTTATATTTATTTCAAAAGGCTAACGCGTTAATCTTTATAGCGAAGAGCACGAACAATAGTATCTTTCTCGAATAACATCTATATTTGGTGATAGCCGAGATCAAAGCAAAAAGTAAATTTTTCGAAGGAGCGATTGTATGTGTAGATAACGACTTCGTGGTGTTCGTTGCCGCCCGCGGACGGGAACGGACGTGTTCAGATACGTTATGCGTGCGTCCTTTGGACTTTATTTTTGAGTTTCTTCCTCTCCTATAGAGGAATTTTTTCAGTTTGTTACTCTCAACCAGTTTTTGGCCGGAATGTGTCGATTCTATTAGATCGGATGTGGCCATAAAAGCAAAGGAAGAAGAAGAACGACTTCTGTGTAAAGCATGACAATTGCTAAAGAATCCAATGTCGTCCAACGGCTGCACTTTTTCTCGTGTTCTGTATTATTGGAATTACGACATTAATGTCTTAATAGTTTTATATTTATGATTCTTTGAACATAATAGCGCGACGAGGTTTTACATTATCGCCATTTTTCGCGTCAGATACATGTTTTGTTTTGATTTCGACTACCATTAAAGTATCGATGTTATTCGAGAAAGACATTATTGTACATGATCTCCGCTACAAGGGGAGTGACGCATTAGAATTTTAAAATTAATAAACTGACGATTATTAAAGCTATATATCTATAGCGGGCCGAAATCGTGACGCCTTTGCCAAAATCGTCCGCGTCAGATAAGACGGGACCTTTACGGAACTTTATCCTTCATTTATAAAGATAAACATTTATAAAGATGTGCATTAGTTTTCATTTTCATCATAACGCGATATCTATAGCAGTCAGTACGTAAGTATGTATGTATCGGGCAGTAAGTCGGCTGTACGCACACACACATGCAAATAGACGTACGCGATCATATCAGTGCGCGGCAGCTCAGTCTCAGTTTGTCGCGTGTGTTTTGTACATACGCGTAACAAGAGATTATCGCGCGCTCAACCGTTAGAACGCGTTATAACACGTTGAAGTCAAAAAACTGTGTTTCTGTGTTTTTAATTTTTAATATATATAGTGTGTCCACATAATGGGACAAAAATATAATGAGAAACGCTTGCCTCTCTCTGTCCGAAGACTTTCCTTAAAAAGAATAAGGGTCAAGAGGTTAGTATTATTTATATATAAGGTATATTTACACAGGGTGTCCGAAAATTCGCGAAACACCCTTTAAGGGAAGGTAGAGGGTGTTATTCTGAACAGAAAAGTCCTGTAACATTTTTTTCTATAACGCTTCATAAAGGAGTTATTATTGAGTAAAGTCTGATCAATCAGCGCCGACTTTTACCTGGGCGCACGTCAGTGAGCCCCGCGCTGCGAAGTGTGCGCCGCCGCACACTACTAGGCACGCGGGGCTCACTGACATGCGCCCGGCTAAAAGTCGGCGCTGATTGATCAGACTTTACTCAATAATAAATTTTATGAAGCGTTATAGAAAGAATTGTTACAGGACTTTTCTGTTCAGAATAACACCCTCTACCTTCCCTTAAAGGGTGTTGCGCGAATTTTCGGACACCCTGTGTAAATATACCTTATATATAAATAATACTAACCTTTTGACCCTTATTCTTTTTAAGGAAAGTCTTCGGACAGAGAGAGGCAAGCATTTATCATTATATTTTTGTCCCATTATGTGGACACACTATATATTAAAAATTAAAAACACAAAAACACAGTTTTTTGACTTCAACGTGTTATAACGCGTTATAACGGTTGAGCGCGCGATAATCTCTTGTTACGCGTATGTACAAAACACACGCAACAAACTGAGACTGATGTGCTATTGAAATTACGCCATTAATATTTTACGAATTGTATCTTTTTCTAAGATGTGTTCATTAAAGGCGGGGCAGCCGTATATAACGTCGCGAATTTGGCCAGTTATATCGCTTTAATAATCGTCATCTTATTAATTTTAAAAATCTAATACGTCAATCCTTGTAGCGGTGATCATGTAGAATAATGTCTTTCTCCAATAACATCGATATATTTAACGGTAGTCGAGATCAAAGCGGATAATGTAACGGATAAATAAAAAGTTTCTATTAAAACTTTTACATATATTTTTGAAAGCAGTTTTTAGAGGAAATCATACAGTATCTCTGTTTATTCGATATAATACTTCAGTGAGATCGTAAAAGGCCGCGCATACGCGTCCATCCGGGTACATCAGATTGTGAGAGCCATAGACATAGTATATCTAGACCGAGCGTTTGTTTTTGTTTAAGGAGTGGGGGCCGATGCCCACGTAGAAAAGGACATACTCTGTAAATTATGTAAAATTCTATAAATCATTTCAAATTTTGTATTCTTGATTTGTTTAGAAATGATATTAACGGATATGGCAGGAGACATAGATACACTTATTAATTACAAAGAATGTGCAAGCGATATGTGCAATAATGAAAGTGTTAATGTACCAACACTCTGTGGTATGTGAATTGTTAAAATCTTCTATTATTCTTCTAAATATGCTTAAATTAAAAGAATTGAATGATAATTTACTTTCATTTTTTTTCTATATTAGATATTAATGAAAAGACTGACTTATCAGTAGATGAAAATAATAAAAATCGTAAGACTGATATGCAGAACCATCCAAAGAAGTTGACTAGTAATGTTTCTGGTATGTAAAATTTTTATTGTAAAAATAGTTTCAGCAAATTTTTTAAATGGATTTTTGTGTTATTATAGATTTGCATTCTGCATTAAATTATGTCAAATTCTATAAAGCATTTCAAATTTTGTATTCTTGATTTTTTTAGAAATGATATTAACGGATATGCCAGAAGACATAGATGCACTCATTAATTTAGAGCTATGTCCAAGTGAAATTTTCAATGATAATAAAAATGTTTTTAATTCATTAACATTTTTCTATGGTTAGTGTATTATTAAAATTTTTAATTAATTTTTTAAATATACTTGTATTGTAGTAGTTAGATGATAATTTGTTTTTATTTTTTTCTATATTATAGGTAAAAAAACAAACTTATCATTAGATGAGAATAATAACAATCATAAGATTGATATGCAAGATCAATCCAAGAAATTGAATTGTAACGTTCCTGGTACGTTAAATTCCTATTGTAAAAGTAGCTTTAACTAATCTTTTTATTATTTTAGATTTGCATTTTGCATAAAATCACGTCAATTTTTGTATATTTTGTATATTATATATTTTTTTTAGAAATAATAATAGTGGACACAGCAAGAGACATAGATGCACTCATTAATTATGAGGAATGTACAAAAATTTGCAATGATAATGAAAATGTTAATATGTTAACACCCCATGGTTAGTGTTTTATTAAAACTTTCAATTAATCTTCTAAATATACTTGCATTCTGGAAGTTAGATGATAATATACTTTATCTTTTTTCTATATTAGATATTAATGAAGGGATAGATTTTGTAGATGACTACAATAACAATTGTAACACTGATATGCAGAACCACATCGAGATATCAACTCTTAATATTTCTGGTATGTATGAAACATATCAAAAGTACATAAAAAAATATAAATGTATATGAAAATCTTTTATATGAAAGTAAAAGTATATTAATGTTTTTACTTGTGTAGTTTGTATTATTATAAAAATAAATTTTTTACGTTTATTTCAATCTCTAATATAAAGTATACAAAATATCTCTTTTAAGAAACATCCAATATTGACAGGTTTCTGAAAATATTTGCAGAAAAAAATTATAACACCAATGTGTTGAAGCAAATATCGATGTAAAAGTATCTTTGAAATGAGAGGCAATTATATATATGTATATATATATATATAATTTATATAAATCATAAAGCTGATTTTTTGTGCGTTTAAGTATGGCAAAATGCACAGTAACGCACAGTATGAAATTGTTATATGAATTACATCATTGATAATTTGGAAAAAAATCTTGCATATCGCATGATCAATATTGTGCATTTTTCTGCATAAGCGCGCCAAATATCTGCTTTATATCCATAAGTTTTAGCCGCCTCGCATCTAAAAATTATTATAGTCCTGATATTTGATATTATGACTTTTGTTTTCAAATTTTATCAGGAATCTATCATTAATTAATCTTACGAGATGTGAGATATTTTGTATCTTATTTTATTTTAGTTATTACGTAGTTAAATCAATATTTGTACTTGTTTTTATTTTATTTATAATTTTTGTTTATACTATTGTACATGCAATGGCTCTGAATCAATAAACGTAGAGAATTGTGTTAAGAGATTAACTTACAGTGTTGCTGGTATGTTGAAGTCAAATTTTATTAGTGATATATTTTATTATTTTATTATTTTCTTTCTAATTTTCTTTTACTGCTGTAAAATTTTCAATATTTATAATTAATACATTTCTAATAATTTTTATAAACTTTTTTATCAGTCATTGCAAATATGTTGAAATATGTCAAAAACTAAGAAATATGCATATATATTGTATAATATATATATATATTTAACACTATTATTTATTTGTATATAATTTATCTGTACGGCTACTTATTATCGAATTATTTCAGATATAACTTCACCTAACACAGAAAAAGTTGCAATACAGGAAAAAGAAGGGGGAAATAAAAAACGGAAACGTTCTAGTGAGTATTTTGCACCTATTTTTATTTGAAATAAAGTTTAATTTATATGAATAATTTTTGGAAATACTTTACTAATGTATGAAACATATAATTTTATAAAAATAATATATTTATTATATAAAATTTTAATGTTTTCGTATTTTTAATTAGACATTTGATTAATTTGATTAATAAATTTGTAATATAGAATTGAGTAATATTTATTTCTAAATTTTTTAAATTTATGTCTATATTCATTCTTATGTATGCACATAGAAAAGTTGCGTTCGGCAATGTAAATCTAAAGCATCGGAAGGCTTTCTCTCTTTCTATTTCACTTTCTTTTTTTGCCCACTCGAATGTAAAAGAGGACTCTGATACCTCAGATTTAACATTGCCGAACGCACCTGCTTTCCAGCAAGGGAAACAATTGACAGAATAAATTGTTTATTTTTGTTATTTGTCGATTATAAACAAAATAAAATGATTTACTGTGTCAACTGTGTTTCTTGTTGAAAAATGTCCATGTAATAATACGCTCTTTATGCTTTCTTTTTAGCATCACCTTATGGAAATACAAAAAGATTGCGTTGGACTGAACATGAAAAAAATGATGCACTTCAGGCATTTGCCAAACATATGGAAAATTTAACTTTGCCTTCTTTAAAAGAAATTCAAGAAATGAAGAAAAAATATATATCTCTGACCAATCGTACATCGCCACAAATAAAAACATGGTTGCATAATAATCAAAAAGCTTTACGAAACTCACGTATGTAATTTTTTTTGGTAAATAACTTTGTCACATACTTCAAATTAATAGCTTAAAGTTCTTGTTATTTATCTAGAAAAAACAGATTAATTGCTAAACTTGATAAAACTTGCTAATATAATTAGCAAATATAGCAAGTATTATAAAAAATTATTAATTTTAAATATTCTGAAAAAGTTCAAAATATTTACCACACAAAAGAATTTAATTAAAAGTTATCTTAAAGAAAAAACAATAATTCTGATATTTTTTTATATTACACATTTGTTATTTGTTTCGATCATTATTCTTATTTCCATTTTGATTTTAATTTTAAAATATTACGATATTATACTTAGTATTAACGATATATATATACAATATTAAATTTAGTATTAACAGAACAAAATATGATACTTAATAATAATATAAATTCTAAATTAAGTTTTATTTAATGATGAATATGAGCAGACTAATAAATTTAATTTCATGCGATAAGTAAAACTAATCAATATTCAAATGATTAATCATCTCGTGTGTTTAGTTCTAATGACATAAGTACAAATAATATATAATATGTGATAACGTATATTTGATGTAAAATAATATATATATTTAATGTAAAATAATATATATGTGATGTATTAACATATTATATTTCATTTTATTTTTTATTTTCAAAATATTACAATATTGATATTTATTATTCAAAAGTATTAACAAAATATAATTTGGTTAATGTTGATAATAATTATAATATGAATTTAAAGTTATATTTTATGTTATAATGATTTTGAATACTCTGATATAATATTTAATTTTATATAATGATAAGTAAAGCTCAGTATTTAGATGATTAATTAACGATGTGTTCTCTTCTAGCAATACAAGTATAATTAATATCTAATATGCAATACCATAACAATATTAAATCATATCATACATGCACGCGCTACATATAAGCACACGCACATGCTTGTACACATAGTTGTGCTTGTGTGTGTATTGTCATCCGTCAAGTTTCTGCCAATGTAAAAGGCTATCTATAATAGACGTAATAAGGCTGTAAAAATATAGAATAAACTGTTTTTCATTAAGTAAATATAAAAAAAACGAGATAAACAATTTTTATATCGCATTCCTTATTTTTTTAAGGTAGTAAAAGAGAATATGAGAATTACCCGTTTTTATTTCAATCAAAGATTTTATTTAATACTTTTACAGTCTTCTTACTACTTTCAGTTATGTCCATTGTAGACAGCTCTTGATACATTTTTAATATGCGCTTAATACTTATACTACAGCATATTGTATGTCTATATCGATTTTGTGTTTAAGATCTATTGATAGAATGAAGAGTATGCTCACGCATGATTTATATAGCTTTATAAACTAGATAGCTTTATAAACAAGGAATTTGTTTCTTGTGTCTTATGCCGGTATATATTCATTTTATATATTTGTACTTATATCTGAGAAATTAACAGCGACATGTACTTCTTTCGGATGTAAAGATATAAATTAGAATATTTTTTAAAGATTAATGTGATTATGTTTGGTAATATTGTTTTGAGAAAACATCGATGCGATTATCATTCCATAATGGTCTCTTTGATTTGATTTTAATATACCTTTACTATAAGATTATTTATCCAATTAAGAAAATATTAATGATAGGTTTTTTATATTATTTATTTCTTTTTCTGTGCTTAATAAAGTTAATATATATATTCGAGATTTGGTGAAAAAGGAAAAGATTGCAAAATTGTGAAGAAAGTACTTCTTAAAAAACAGATCTTAATTATAATATTGCATATCATTCTATTGATTTGTTTGATAACCAAATTACTCTAATTTCCAGGAATAGTATTTTTAACAATTTGTTAAAATCTCTATTTAAGGTCATTCCACAAATGTCGCAAATATCTCATTGCCAGTTGCAAAACGTTTGCGATCCAATCAGTGCCAAACTAGCTCGATACTGATTGGATTGCCAATGGATGCGTTCAGGAAACACAACTGTTGGGTAGCAATCGTACATGATTGGTTCTTACTTCTAGAACCAACAAATCAAACTCGAGTGTGACAAGATAATGGTTCAACGGTTGTGTCTCCTGAATAATTACCTCAGATGCACCTATTGATTACACGACACCTTTAATCGGGTTTAATAACATCCGTAGTTGTAAAACTGGTCAATCACAGCTATTCCTCTGAATAATGGAATGACTGTGATTGGCCAGCATTAGAACTACGGATGTTATTAAACCCGATTAAAGGTGTCGTGTAATCAATAGGTGCATCTGAGGTAATTATTCAGGAGACACAACCGTTGAACCATTATCTTGTCACACTCGAGTTTGATTTGTTCAAAGAGTTGTGGTATGTGTATTAAAATTTTCAATTATTTATAATTATACTAGCGTTGTTCAACTAAAAGTTAAATGATAATTTGTTTGTATTTTTTTAAATTAGATATTAATGAAAGGACAAAATTATTAATAGATGAGAGTAATAATAATCATAACACTAATGTGCAGAATAATCCTAAGATGTTGACTAGTAATGTTTCTGGTAAACTGGCATTACTAGTCCAAACAGATAATCTAACCTATTTTGTTTCTATTCCTGCCTGTTCTGTGTAGTAATTACATTGTCAGCTATATTATTTTCTTAGAAATCAGTAGATCATCTTTTCTTTTTTCTAAAGTTTTATATAAAATATAAAATATAATTATATATACATATAAATATTATTTCTAGTAATGTATGCATTAGTAAAATTTGACAATATGTATTACGTACGCAAGTAGAGAAACATTGTAATTATTGAGAATATAAAATGTAAAAAGAATGATGGACTTAATATTAGCAAGAATTATAGCCAAAAATAGTAAGTTATAATATTAATATACTTAGCTTTTTATTATTTATGTTATTATCAAGATATACAACATCCGAACTTAATATCTGTATTTGTATAAAACAAGTTATTTTATAATTACAGATAACAAAACTTTGTTAGAGGAAATATTACAAAATATATATCGAAATATACCATTTCCATTGTGCAAAAGAATTGACTTAGGAGAAAATAACAGTAGCTATCAATTAAATTACAGAAACGTTTAATTTTAAAGAGTTGTGGTATGTGTATTAAAATTTTCAATTATTTATAATTATACTAGCGTTGTTCAACTAGAAGTTAAATGATAATTTGTTTGTATTTTTTTAAGTTAGATATTAATGAAAGGACAAGATTATTAATAGATGAGAGTAATAATAATCATAACACTAATGTGCAGAATAATCCTAGATGAAATTTGTTTTAATTTCACACAAATTTTTTTAAAATTATTAAAATGTTTTTATTTTATTTTAAAATGTATTTTTTGAGTACATGTAAATATAATCTATTTTTGGTTTTGTTTGATTACAGATAATAATTGCGATGAAGAAGGCAGTGATATAAAATATTTGTCTGCAGAAATTGAATGAAGTTTTTCGGATTATGACAAAGAAACTCATCGGATAATAATATATCTTCTCAAAAGCACAAATCTTACTACAAGCAAATCTTTGTTTAAAAAAGAATGTAATGCAATGCATTCAACTACTTCATATTTAGAGCTTAAAGTCATTAATTTGAAGCAATGATAAAGTTATTTAACAAAAAAGATTACATATATGACTGACATAAATTTTTTTGTTTATTACATGCAGTTATATTTTTATTTATGGCGATACATGATTAGTCAGGGATCTATATATATATATATAGATTCTTCATTTTTTAAATTATTTAAAAAAAAAAGTTAAATTTTTTCCATATGTTTGGCAAATGCATCATGTACAAATTACATAAAAATTTAAATTTTATATTTTCAAGTTTTAACACTATTTTTCATTTATATGTGATTTATGTATACAATTTATGTATACAACTAAATACACTATTATGTAATTTATATATACAACTCTTATTATCAAATTATTTCAGATAAAACTTTATGAAGTGCATCATTTTTTTCTTTTTAGTCCAACGCGATCTTTTCGTTTTTTCATAAGGTGATGCTAAAAAAAAATATATGAGCACTTTCCAGCAAGACACAATTTCACACAATGGATCATTTCATTCTTACTGAATATCAACAAAGATAAAATGATCGCCTTTGTCAACTGTGTCTCATATTGGAAAACTTCCAATGTATACGTATAAAAATAAATATAGACAAAAATTGTTAAAATTTAGAAATATATAAGATTTATTCAACATTACATTACAATTTATTAATCAAATTAATTTATTAATATATTTACTAATCAAATTAATGTCGAATAAAAAAAAACGAAAATTCTTATATTGAAATTTTATATAATAAATATTATTTTTATAAAATATGTTTGATGCATTAGTAAAGTATTTTTGGAATTTTTAATCATATAAATTAAATTTTATTTCAAATAAAAATGGATGCAAAATACTGTAAAATTCCAGTCTTTTTATTATCTTCTTATTTTTCCTGTGTTACAGATTTTGCTGTGTTACTTAAACTTATATCTCAAATAATTTGATAATAAATAGTGGTACACATAAATTATATACAAATAAATAATAGTGTTAAAAAACTTGAAAATATAAAATTTAAATTTTTATATAATTTATAAATCCCATTTACTATTCATTGCTGTTTCATTAATAATATTTTCTGAATCGCTGTTCTGTTCGATTTCGCTATTCGATAGAGATTCATTACTAAAGTCCTCTATGTCTCCCTGCACCGTTTCTAAATATTGTGAGATTTTAACTATATCCCGAACTGCAAGTGGTTGTTTGTAGTGCTCTCGATGTACTTCATCTGCATAAATGTGGCGAGATTCGAAATATCAATCATTGAGATTCATTTGTATACAATGTGTTGCAATATGTTTCCTCAATATTTTACCTCGCAAACTAGTTGAATGCATTGCGTTACATTTTTCTGGGAACCTGTGCATTAGAACACAAGCTCTAAAATATCTATATCCATTTTTAGTAAAACCAGGCAATCCAAAAACGTACGGATTATTTTTTGGTACTTTAGCGTTTTCTCGAAACTTTAAGATAAGTGTAATACATTGAAGTAAATCATTTGAGAGTAAAACAGATACGTTCCAATTTCCCTCTTATAAAATCGTATATTATATTATTACGTACGTTATTACAATTGACAAAATCGGAAAGTGGATGTAGCACGGATATGAACCAATCGGCTGTTTTATCGGCTCCGAAAGTGGAAATGGCCATGTAGTTCTAGGCGGCGTAAAATGGATGTACGTGACGCTAGTGTACAACCTAGAAAAAGCGTTACACGAAAAACGGCAGCGTGGCGACTCTCATTCTTCTCTCTGGTAGAATAGAAGCGAGGAATATTGATATTTCAATAGAGCCAACTTAACTTTTGCTTGTGAATGTAAATAAACATAATCCTTGACAAATTTCTCGTTTATTTTCCATTTTGATAATTAATACGAACAAACGGTAACTATTACAAACATCAACATATAGACTATATATTGACTATATATTGAGGGTTACGAAATAATGAAAAGTAAAAGTTGGCACCATGTACTTTCAAGCGTTTCCACCGCCTAAATTTCGTGTCAATTCGCTGCCACTCCGACAAAGCTTGTAGATCGGAGTAGGAGTGAAATGAACGCAATCAGACGTATTTCCATCGACTTAAATTTAGTCCTACGCCGCACTAAATGTGATTTAATACTTTGGTGGAAACTAGACCAGTGATGTACTCTGTTCCTTGCCAATAAATAGAAGAAGAAGAAGTATTTCTATAAGTCTATGGCCGGTATTCATAGCAGAGAGAAACCTGAGAGGGGCCACGCCGCCGTTTTTCCTGTAATGCTTTCTCTAGCCGGTACAGTGGCGCCAACTGGATCCATTTTAGAGCCGGCGGAACTACGTGGCCGGATCCACTGTAATATGTTATGAAATATATATATTATTTTACATTAAATATATATATTATTTTACATCAAA